TATATATTTTAGAGATACAAACCAAGAGCACAAGAGGAATACATTCAAGAGTTTGGAGAAATATTTGGGGAAGTCAAGGCCAAATTTCAAAAAATGATATTACCTATAATTTTGTATTTTCTTTATTTTGTCATATTTGTAATGTATTGTTATAAATATTCTCATTTTTATCATTTATATAATATGGGCTAAGTATTTGTTTTGGGATTTATGGATAAAGTTAGACCTAACTTTAATTAATTTTAATATTTGCTTTTTAATGTTAAGTTACTTATTTTCTTGTATTTTTTAGCATGGTTATTATTGTATTTTCAATTGCATGGCCAATAAATGATTATGTTTAATGATTTGTACATCGTTCGATAGAAAATTGTGCATTTTAAATCAAATAGTATAAATTCTAGGTTTGTGTAGGGGATAGAGATGTACCCCTAACTCTAGGTGACCTATTGAGCTATATTCACAAAGAATTAATGCGGTTGTTTGATTTTAATTGGCATAGAGATATAATAGGTTAAACCAATCAATTAAGGTTAATTTCGTTCGAGAGAGATAATAAACTTGAAAAATCGGGTCTAATATCGTAAATGAGTAATTTATTAGTTGGCTTGTAGAAAAATTAATTAGACGACGGTTAAGCGAAATCATGAATCCTACCATGTTATTTCTCCAAAATTTTCAAGTATTTATGTTTTCTTATTTTGTAGATTTTTAATTTTTTAGTTAATTTTCTTTATTTTCCAAAATCAAATTTTATTCTGTGTTTGTTTTTGTTGTTAAAACTAAATTGACTAAAATTATATAATTGAAAGTAAACATTCCTCGAGGGATTGACAACCTGAGCTCAAAAAATTCATTTTATTACTTGAATGCAACTCGTGCACTTGCGAATTGCACTTTTATAGCGAACAATGTTATCTACTAATAAAATATTTTTAATTGAATGAGAAGAATGATTACCAATGTTTTCAATTTCAATGATTTTTTTTCCTTTTACATTCTCTCCAAATGTGACATGGTCTCCATCCTTCTTTTTGAAATTCGATAGTAACATTCTATCTTCAATCATATGCTCTAAACATGCACTATCCATGAATCATTTGCTCTTTATCTTATTTGGTACCTACAAAAATAATTTAATTTTTTATTTTTGGTACTCATACAAGTTTGGGTCCTTGGTAGTTAGTTTTAGTGGACTATTGAATCAACTCATTCTTACTTTAGCCTCTTTTGATTAGACAATTATAAGAAATATATCCATTTTTATTGCAAAATTTACATGTAGTGTTTGAAGAAAGGAATTTGATACTTTGACAAATAAAGTTTTGAAAGATTTTTGTTTCAAGAATGGTTTATATCCAACTCCTCCTTTGTCAAAAACACACTTTTGACCACCAAATATTAAATCAAAGTTTTTCTTACCTGAGTGAATTTGTAAATAATTTTAGTTAGATCTTCAGTTTTTTCTTTAAATTTCTTTAATCAAAGATTCATAATTAACATTTTTCTTTTTCAGATCTTTTTGAATTTCTAAAATTTTCTTCATTTCATCTTTCAACAAGTGGTGTTTCTTTTTAATAATGGAGTGATTTAGGCAAACTTTTCAAATTTCTCAAGAATTTCATAATAGGATATAGATAAATCATCATATGAACATTTTT